AAGGTGCATTGTTTGCTGATGATAATACCATTTATTCTTGTCTTCATAAGAAGCCAACACTTTCTGATTGCTTGGAGGATGCATAGGAGCTTGAAAAGGATCTCATTTCTGCTACAGTACGGGGCTTTTAGTAGCTGGTGAACTCTAACTCAGATAAAACTCAATTTTTTTTAGCTAGTTGTATCACAATAATCTAGATCTTCCTATGTTTATGAATGGTACTTGATGAGCCAACCTCCAACTATTATAATATCATGGTAATGTTGGTTCTTTCTTTTTTCTATAAATACTATAATGGGCACTGCTCTAAAGAGCTAGCATCTTTTGAGTCATCTACTATAATTCATTTTTGTGTTACTCATCATTCAATAAAATCTCATCCTTTTACTGTGTTTTGTTTTAAATGTTATTTTAAGTATATGTAAAAAATTAGTAATATATAAGGTATAATTTAAGAAAAACTCAAGAAATTACTATTTTTCTGATTCATATAACTTGCAATATTTTAAGTCGTCTGTCAATCGTTATCTTGCTCTACAATCTTCATCTTTTCTCTTCCAGTAACTTCCAACACTAACTAGTGGTTGCTTGCAACTTTGTTGGAAGCGAAGATAATTAAGAAGAAGAATTTTTAAAAAAAAATCTAAAGAAAAGTTATATTTTAAAAGAAAGCAAAATAGTGCAATAGGTGCTGCCTGATGCTATACTCCATTATTCTCAGTTCACTAAATCCTATCTTCAATCTCAGAAGTTAGGCTCTAGAGACTTTTGAAAAATCTTTAATAACATCTTTAACAAAGGTCTAACATTCCATCTCTCATTCATGGGACTAATCTTATTTCCTCTCCCAAGGACATGGGAGAACTATTTGCAAAGAACTTTTCTTCTAATTCGACTCTTAAATCTTATGGCCATTTTCTCCCTTCCATTCAAACAGGTTAATCCATTGTTAGACATTCAAATCACTCTCGCTTTTGTTGCCAAAGTCATATCTCAAACTCTTCTATGGCTGGTGGTTCAGATAATATTTATGTCTTAGTCTTACAAAATTGTTTTCCAGAACTCTCTTTGTTAAATTATTAAATTATTTTAAACTATTTAATAGGTGCTTAACTGTGCCTTATTTTCCTACCTGCTGGAAAATGGCATCTGTTTTTCTAATTTTAAAAAACTCCAGAGAACATTTTGTCTCCTCCAATTATTATTTAATCAGACATATTTCTGTTATTACAAGGTCTTTGATAAACAAATTTCTCACATCCCATATCAAATAACTTACTGTCAGACAATTGATACTGTTTTCAATCCTCTCGCTCTAATGCTAATTTCCTAACTGCTGTGACTAGCCCTAACTGAGGTTTGGGCTATTGCTCCTGACATATCTAAAGCTTTCGACAAATTTTGGCATGTTGACATGCTTTTCCATATGCTTGCTTCACTTGGTGCATCTGGGAAAGTTTTTGAAATTATTAAATCGTTTCTTTCTAATCGCTTTATTATAGTCATCCTCGAAGGCTAACACTCTTCTTCATTTCCAGTAACTTCTGGGGAACTTCAAGGATAAAACCCCAAGGTTTTATCCTTGGTCCTGTTTTGTTTCTTACCTACATTAATGATCTTCCTGACAACCTTACATTTAAAGTAGTTAGTTGATGACTCTACTTTATACTCTTTTTGATTACTTAAAACAGGCAGCCAATTTTGAATCTGATCTCACTTCTGTAACAGATTGGGGGCTCGCAGTGGCTTGTAAACTTTAACTCCAACAAACTCCTTACTGCTGCTTTAAAACTGTTATTTACTGTAATCAACTATCGCAATACTGTTGACATTCCTATAATAATAAATGACAACCCTCTCACTGAGTCCTCTTCTTTATGTCTTCTTGGATTATTGTTTACTACTGACCTTTCATGAAAACCATATATACAATTGATTGCTAAATTAACATCCATTAAGATTGCTTGTCTTTATCATGCTTGCCATTTTCTTACTCCTGATTACATTCTCTACCAATCTCTTATTCATCCTTGTATGAAATACTGTTGTAATATTTGGGCTTTTAATGATGCTCTTTTAATGAGGCCCAAAAATGGATTGTAAATGCAGTTGGACCTGCACTATCTGCTAACCTTGAGTTTCTTTCCCACCATCATAAAGTTATGTTTCTTTACTATCATGGTCTTTGCTCAAAGGAGCTATCAACTCTAGTTTTATCAACTAAAACTTATTCTTGCTTGATTCGTCATTCAACAAAGTCTCATTTGTTTACTGTATCTGTCCCTGCATGCTTTAAAAACTTTTATTTGTCTATTTTTTTCTCAGCACTTTAACCCTTTATCACTCTCATACCTTCATGTTTTCCTGACTTATACAACCTACGACTTTACCATTTTTCTGTCAACCATTTCCTTGCTTTATAACTCTATTCTTTTAATAATAATAATGTTAACTACACATATGAAAATATGCAAGTCAAATGAAAAATACTAAATGAAATTCATGATATAACAAAATAATAACAATCTAATTTTTATTTAGAACTGCCCTTCTAATGTTCCTCAAGTTTATTTTTAAAAGTATTTAAATTAACAGAGTTAACAACATCATAGGTTAAACTGTTCCGTTTATTAACCATCCTATTAGTAAAGTAAAAAAATGTTCTTGCTTCCGAAATACAAACATTTTGTTTGTGCAACCATTGATTATGACCTTTTAATTTTGGATATAAGTTGTTTATTGGAGGATCTCTAATTTATTTTATGAATATCATTTTTAATTTTATAATATTCTATTATTTAGCTCTATTCTCTTAATTTTTATAATGACGTCAATCCAAATTCTTTTAATCGCTCCTCATATTTTATACCTTATAAACATCTTAATTATGTTGCTCTTTGTTGTACTTTTTCTATTTTATTGATGTCTTTTTTATAATAAGGATTCCGAATTGGTGAAGCAAATTCAAGGTGAGGTCGAACTAACAAACAATACAGCAATTTTATTAGGCCTTTATCTAAGTATATAAAACAATGTTTTATTTGACCAAGTATTCTGTTTGCTTTTCCTGCAATCATATCTATATGATTTTTCCATTTTATACCATTAGATATTAGGACCCCTAAATCTAAAGACTCTAGTAAATTTGTGAAACAGTTTTTCTACAGACAGAGTCGTGCTGCAAATCAGATATTAATTTACTTTCAAGAAGATGGTCCATCAAAGGGTCTCTTATTATAGTCTCCATTACTTTGCATATGAAAGAGGTTAATGAAACAGGACGGTAGTTTTTTGCTTTCTGAGTAACTCAAAACTTAATAATGGTTGCTTGCAGCCTTGTTGGAAGTTGATCAGAATAAGCAAATGAAAAAAATGAAGGAAAAAAAGTTCATTAATTAGAGTATTACCTATATCGAAGTGACGTTCTAATTTTGTGTACCATTAACAAATTTAAACAATTATTCAATCTAAATAATTCTTTTAATTAAATTTTTTTTTGTTGATCTGTAATGAATTTATGTGCAATAAATGTGACCTATTGTTTATCTTAATACTTTTTTTTGTTACTTAATTAAAAAAGAAATTTTTTTATTATTAGGCAGCAAAAATTTAAAACAAATAAAACCTTATCACTTTATAAAATAATCAATTGAAATCTAAATGTGCTTATTAGCTAACTATTTTTGTGCTTGTCAAAGAAAAAATAATTCTTTTTAATAATTTTTTTTCTCCCTTTGTTTATCAACATTATATTAAAATGCTCAACAAACTCTTCTGTTGTTAAATATTTTTATTAAAGAACAAAAATTAATTTTTAATTTTTTAATTTAAAAAATCTAGCAGCTTTTGTCTCTCATGTTTTTTTTGAGGAATGAAACATGCACCACATTACTCCAATTTTATAACTTTACATAATTTTAAAAGCAATAAACGATTAAAAAGTTAAGAACAGTTAAAAAAAATTAAAATACAATGGGGCATTTCTAAAAAATCATGCACTGAAACTTATATATATGTTTTGACTATTATTTTCATAATAAAAAAAACTGGCGATCTTCAATTTGCTCTCATTTAATTCTAACGTATATAAATATTTTGTAAACAAAAAATGGTATACATTAATGTTAACTAATAATAAATTAAGTTTGAAATCATGCACAGAACAGAAAAACTAAAATTTTAGTTACTAGATAAATAAACTTTAATTTAAAAAATATATATAAGTTTCAGCGTTATATATATATTTTAAAATGTTTTAAACATTAGTAAAGCTTTCCAGAAAGTTACAGGATTGCACTATGTATCATAGAGTCACAGCAATCGTTTAAATACAGTTCATGAATGATCACGCACGGAAGTCACACATGGAAGTTGCGAATTTGTTAAATTCATGTAGATATTTTAAAGAAAATAAATTGCTTATGAGTATTTTAAGTGAAATATTATGCTTTTATGACTCATATTTAATATATTTTTGATGAAAAATGGCAGTCATCAATTATTTCTAGCTAAAGTATAACGCTTTGAAAATTGTTGTCTATTTTCAAACTGTAGTGATATTATCATGCAAAAAAATAAAATGATCAAAATATATATATTTAATTTATTCAGGTAGCCTAAAATATGATAAAAATATTTTTGTTATAAATGTTTTTTAAGAAAATCATAGTAGTATGAATATTGCTAAAACAAAGAAAAATAAAAAATCACGCACAGAAATGAAAATCCCCAAAAGTCAGTGAGGTTTTGTATTCGGCTACTTTTTAACATTTGTATTGTAATCATCAATAACTAAAAGAGTTAAAAGAGTTGCTTTACTTTTAACACATTTTCAGCCCCATCAATAATTTAATAGGCTACCTCTAAAAAAACAACTTCATAATGAAATTTTTGAAAGTTGATATTAGTTTCTCACAAAAGACCTTCTAGTTAGGGCACTTCAGGCTTTAAAGAACATAAAAATTAATTCATTTTAAAATTCAATTCGTTCTTTTACAAACCTTTTGTATACAATTTTTAAGTCTTTGTATTCAAGAAAACTACACATTTTGGGTTTTCTCGAGAGGATTAGAGTAGTTAGATCTCTTATAATTTTTTTCTTATCTTTGCTAGGAATTGCAAAATACCATTTTTGTAAACGCAACTTTCCTTGACGACTGAACAGTAAAATATATTGTATCTAAAAAAAAAAATTAAATATTTCTATAAAGTTAATGTTTTTCAATATTTTTGAATCAAGAACTTTAGTTTAAGAAATATATTTTAAATGTTTTTCCCTGAAAGATTAATGAAGAGAACAGAGAATTAAACAGATATATTTATATAGAAAAACTACCTACCATGATATTTCTTAACAGGTTAGAATAATTTCTAGTACTAAAAAAAAATAAATTAATAATAATAAAAAAATAGGCAGAAAAAATAGACAGAAAAAAAATTAAAAAAATCATATATGATCATTTTATTAATTTCTAGTAATTACAGTAAATATGTAATTAATGGTTTGTAATAATTTTAAATTATTACAAACCATTAAAGTTGAACTTAAATTTTTTAATGATTTAAAATTTAATTTTTTTAATATTATCAAAGAGACTTTCTTAAATTAAAAAAAAAAAAACTAAATTAAAATATTCTTAAATTATGGAAATATAAGACATCATAACAAAAATTGACTAGACTATTACTTGTTTTATAAATCAAATATTAGTCTAGTCACTTGAACTTTAAATTTAAAGTAATGCCAAGCCCTCATTAGTTCTTAATATAAATTTAAAATAAGTAATAGTCTTATTGATAGAAAAATTATAATAAATAAAATTATGTACAAACTATAATACAGATGATGTCACTAATTTCGGCACAGAAAAAAATTCAAGTTAGATAGGCTGTAGCCACTGTTGATAAAACAATATTTTTTTAAACTAATATATATCTATATTTATCTATTTACTTAACTATCGATTGATCCTTCTGGTAATCGGCGTAAAATTATTTATTTGCTTTTTCGCGCTTGTCACAAACACGTCTGAAACAACGCACTCGCGAATAGAAAATAAAAGGCAAGATTTAAGATTAATTTAATTAATTTAGAAGGTTTTATTTAGGCAATGATATATTATATAAACTATTATAAATGATATATTATATAAAATTATGTTATGTTTGCACTTTTGAAATTCTCTCTTATTCAGTGGCTTGTAACCAAGGCCGGTTACAAGCCACAGAATAAGTGCGAGTAAAATTAAGCCATTTTAGTGCCCAAGGCACAAACCCCCATCGAAACCCCCTTCTGCCCGGGGCCCCTGATTTTTTGCTGACTGTGACCGCTGGTATTTTATGCAAAGAAAACAGTTGTTAACAAATATATTTGTAGTTTGTACTACTATCACTCATATAAAACCTACAATAAAGTATTTCTGTATTAAAACTAATAGTTAATAAATTTTGAAATAATAATAGACAAACTGTATTTTTTATTAGATGAAAAAATCAAAAAGATATTGTCATTTACATTTAAAAATTTTTTTTTTCTATTAATTAAGTATATCGTCAAAATTAACTTTGACGATATACTTAAAGACTTTGCATCTAGCAAAGTCTTTAAGTATATCGTCAAAGTTAATTTTGCGCAACATATCTGCCTCAATCTTAAGCGAAGATAAGGAATCGAGCCTTTCTTGTTTCATTGTTGATCTATTTGGATTTTTTGTACGTTTCAACTGAGAAAAAGAGCTCTCAGTTGAACAGTTAGTAACCATTAATGTTAAAAATAATTTGTTTAAAAAAAAGCTAATTAGAAAAAACCGGCTCATTCATAGCTTAATTTTTAAGCATTCAAGATTGTACCAAACTTAAATGTGAATTTTATTATAATGTGTTTCTTCATAGCAGTTGTTCAATTTTCAGTTGTTTTGTTTAATTTTCAGTTGACTTAAATTTGTTTAATTATTTCTTAAGGAATTGTAGTGCCCCCAAATGCTTGGTGCACAAGGCAAATGCCTTGTTTGCCTAATGGTTAATCCAGGCCTGTAACTATTAAAGCAGTAGCGTAACGACAAAAAATCCCGCAAAATTATATTCCGGGCCCCTATATTACTTTTTATGCTATCACCCCTTCTCTTTTCTTCAAAAAATAAAAAATAAAAAAACAACCTTATCTTTAAATATAATTTTTTTGATGTTATAGACTATTTTGCATGAAGAGTGATATATAGACCAATAGCTATTAAGTCAAGAAAAAAGCTATAAAGACAAGAAAAAAAAAAATTAGATTTTCCATATACTATATTTGTCATTTATAAGCATTTTACAATGTTCTTGTTTTACAATTTTCATCAATAAAATTTAAATAAAAATTAATGGCGACAGGGGCAAGGTTTCTACTTACTATAATACTACTATAGTAATTACTGTAGTATGTAGAAAATCTAATAAAAGTTTTTTTCTTGTCTTTATAGCTGCAAATTGGTCTATAACATCTTTTAAATTTAACGGAGCTGCTATTTTTCTGCTTTTTTTTTTTGTGTTTAAATTGAAGTTATTAATTTTTGACATAAATTTATAACTTCAATTTAAACACAAAATAAATAATGATTTTTATTTCTTAAGATAGATAAAATGTTCTAAATGTGTTATAACTAAATTTTATATGATTTATATATATATATATATATATATATATATATATATATATATATATATATATATATAATATATATATATTACATTTATATATATAATACATTTAGTATATAACTAAATTTTATTAAGTACATTTAGTGCATTTAATAAATTTATTCACATTCAATATATAGATATATTTAATATAAAGTTATATTTTATTCAAATCTATTGTAAAAAAATACCATTACATGAATTCATATTCAAAAAATCAGTTAAATTTCAACTATATTTTACTATCCAATTAAATGAAATCTAAAAAGTTAACAGAAATTAAGTTCTCATCAGCAACTTCATCGTCGTAGTTGTTATCGCTTTCACTACCTTCTTTGCTTTCACTATGATGATGTTGCGAGGTATTGGATGGCATTTCTGTTAGTAAACTAAATATCTCAGAAAGAGTAGGGAACTTACGATGATTCTGAATTCTTCTGTGTAAATGAATACTGGAAATGATAGGATCTGAGACTCTATGAAAAATATCTAAGACTCTATGATTCTATGAAAAGACTCTAAGACTCTATGAAAAATATCTTCATTGACATAGTAAGAGATGGACATAAGAATGATTTTAAATTATATTATATATAAATTATAAATTAAATTATATTATATACAAATTATTATATATATAAGAATGACATAATTTTAAATTATTAATAAATATTGATGAAATTTAACTGATTTTTTTAAATCAAGCAAATTCTAATGCTTCTTCCACTGTATAACAAACTGTTTCTGTTTTTGGTAAAAATATAGTTTATTTTTTATTTTTGTTGACCTTTGATAGATAGACTTTTATTTGATTCTTTTAGAACCAATACTAAATCACGTGTCTTTTGCTGACGCATCAAACCTGCTGCTTGCAATATAGGCGACGTTTCGTGTGAACTATTTCGAGATAACTCTGATGCTTCCAATCTTTTGGCCCAATATGATTTTTTGTTGTGTGATAAACTTGGTTGTCCAGAAGATTTTGATGGAATAGACTGACTAAAAGATGTTGCTGGAGTTGCATCATCAGTAAATCTAAAATCTCTTTTTAACTAATACGAATTTTTGCTTTTAAATTAGCCCTTTGTTACTTGACTATCTAATCATTTTCCTCCAAAAGAATAACGTAAAAAATAACGTAAAAAAATAACGTTTAATTGTTCTATTCTGGCCATACATTAAACAAATCCTCGTTTTTGAAACGGTACATTACAGGTATAGTGCCCTAAAAAAGACCTTAAATTGCCTATAACTATTCTTAAAAAGCATTTTAAAAAATTGTGCTTATTCAAAATTATAATCAGACCATATAAATTTCAAAAAAAAGTCAAGTTATTGTGCAGACGTTCAAACTTTTTTTCAAGTTTTGGTCCAGAAGATTGTTTTAAAAAAAGCTATTAATAGGATCGTTATAAAAGTAGTAATTGTTTTTCACTTGCTTGATAAGAACATATAGTTTTTGTTGCTTAAAAAGTACTGCTAAAATGTTAATATTTTTGTCTTTTTAAGGGCACCATATATTATTAATTTTTAATCGAATTTTTTATACTTCTGAAGGAAAAAAACATCAAAAAACAAAAATAACTTTTTAATTTTTAATGAATAATAAAAAAAATTCTCAATAAAGGAATCTATTGGATTCCAAATCTTCAGTACTGTCTTCTTCATCATTAGACTTTCTAAATAAATTCTTTGCAGCGGTTCTCTTTTTCGATAAACATTTAGGTAAAATCATAATTGGTTTTTTACTATCCACGATGCACTTATATTTACTGCATACTGATTTCATAACAATTCGACACATGAGACATTGTTTTAGCTTTGCAGCTTCACAAATGCCATTGTCTGAAATGCATCTTTCCTATCATCTATAGAACAACTCAGTTTCTTCACTCTTTTTTCTTTCTCTGTCTTCTTTGTCTTGCACTTTTTTTTTCCTTTGAATTGTTAATAGGTTCTACAAGTTTTAGCACATCTTGACCTTCCATGGAACCATGGACTTGAGTTACTTTATGCTTACTATTACTTTGAGTTGACTTTTTGGTATGTCATTAAGATTTATGCTTTTTCATGTTAGTCTGTGATCATGGCCTGCAATGACAAACATTTGTCTTTCCGATTTGAAGCTTTTTCTCTCCAATACATTTGGCTATCTTTTCGTTTTATTGATATAGGAGAACTTAATTTGCTATTTAGAACTGTAGAGATATCAGTAACGTTAGGTGAAGCAGCTAATAATCATAATGATGTCTGTTGTTGAGGTGTTTCTATCATAGAACTGTTTTTTTTTTAACTTCCTTTGCTAGCATAGAAGCTTGTTGAAATTTATCATTTTGCATAAATGCAATATTTAAACTTTCATTAGTAATACCTTCTTTCCAGCTTTTTTTTATCGATTCTGGTGTGGTCCACTTGTCCTACATACTTGCAAGAGACAACATAAAGGCTTCTCTATTAATTGTTTGATGTTGGTTGAACATATTTTCTTTTGCATTTGCATAGTGTTCATGAAGTGCCTTGTTAATTTTATCAAGTAGTTGTGTTACCCCAGTAGTGTCTGGAGGTGAAATAAATAAATGTATTTCTTTCTCTCTAAGAAATCGAAGTAAGGTATAATGGAAGCGAGAATTGTGACCATCGCTTAGTACAACAACAGGGCCAAGTATTTCTTTTTTAATCAAATGTCGATCAAACAATTTATAAAATGAAAGTAAGGATTTGTGATCTTGTGATCCATTCTCTGTTGTTGAAACTAATAAGTTAAGAATATTTTGAACAGCACTCGGCGGAGCCATCTGACTAGTAATTCCTTGAGTACCAAATATTACATGGCAGATGCATTTTTCACCTAAATAATAAAATAAGCATAAAAAATGCTTCTTGATTTTCTTTAATTATGATGCCACATTCCACCAACTCTTTAGCAAGATCATTTGATAGTGAATAGTCTTTAAAAATATTTTTTAAAAATCAAACTGTTTTAGATTTCAGAGTTTTAACTCTATACTAGCATTTCTTAGTTATTTGGATGAGTTAGTTAACTCTGTCTTTAAGTGCCAAATACATATGTTATAATTTTTATTACATATGCTATTTATTTTTGTGAATTTCAAAGTTGTTTTACCTAAATGAGAGCAGGCCATTTCACGAGTGCTATTCATTGCTCTATTCATTGTGATGATTCCTTGTCTTTTTAAAGAAATATTGACATGTTTGGCGTCCCATCGTCTCCAAAACGACTTACTTAGGCTAGATAAAAAAAACATAAAAAA